CTGGGCCTCCTGTTCAGAATCCATGAATCGGTGATAGGATGAGACGCGGAAGAAAATGCAGGTTTGAGGACAAAACCATCCGTGCTGTGGGTGGGACTGGAAAACGTATCTGTGGGTGGCGGGTGTTTTCTTTCCGCCAGCCCTTATCGCTGCTGCCCAGCATTCTGTGGCTCTCTGCGCTCTCCCCAGCTGGGCTCCACTGACCTCATTTACAACACTTTTGATAAGAGCCCTCGGGCTCAAAAAGGTTCTGGGAAAAGATATTTTACCCACAAAAGCTCTTGGTTGAATGGCAGGCCCCTTACCCTAATTAACACTGACAAGGATCCTTTGGAATAGCCTCAAAGTGCCATTTATACTATTTTCCAAAGGATAAGCTCTTATTTTCCTTCCATTTCAGATGTGTTCCTTTAATAGATATCTCCTCAAGAATCTATCCCATCTTTAGTCATAATTTAGTATTTTTTCTCAGGGGGGGAGGAAGCGAGATGTAGGCATAACTGTTCCACTGTTGATCAACAAAACGTTCTTTGTGCTTATTGAGAAACAGTTTGGAACAATGTAAGATCTTTTGCTTTTGGTTCCTGAATCAGATTTGTAATAGTTGGTTTAGAGGCTACAGGTAACAAAACACCCAACTACAGTGGCATAAAGGGACTTATTTTTCTCACATAACAAGAACTCCAGACAAAGGCAGAGCCAGGCAGCTCTTCCACAACGCCGAGAAGGATCTGACTCTTATCTTTCTTCTCCATTGTCTCCGACTATGAAAGTCACCCTCATGGTTGCAAGGTGGCTGCTGTAGCTCTAATAACAGTGCCTGCATCCCAAGTAGGAACAAAGGGAAACATTACAGAGGAGTCTGGCCCTGTTCATCTTTCCAGAAGCTCCCCAAAGTTTTCTACTTAGAGGCAGTTGGCTAGAACCCTCTCATGTGGCCTCCTCACAGCGGGCATGGTAACTGGGAGCATTGACACCAAGGACACAGCCTGAGCTGTGTTAGTAAGAAAGATGGGAGGATGCCACAACTCCTCAGCCAGAGGACATGTACTGATGACTCACACAGTGTGCTGCTGGCACTTGCTTGGGACTGCTCTGCCTCTTCCTCAAAGCCAGGAAGGAACAGGCTTGGTCTCCTGTTGCATACAACAAATCACTCATTCACTCTTTAATTTATCCATTTATATTTACTGAGCATCCTTGCCTTCACAGAGCATCCGGTCCTACATGAAAAAAAAAACACCAAAAAAAAACCCCACACAAAACAGGGCAGTGTATCTTAGACTTGCTTTCCCTTCCATCTAAACAGCCAGATTCAGTTTTTAAGCATGAAAGCCCTTCTCTTATGGTTAATAAAAAATGAAGCATTCTTGCCCTTGCCAGGTGGCTCAGTTGGCTGGAGCATCCTCTAGACCACCAACAGGTTTCGTGTTTGATTCCTGGTAGAGGTGCATATGGGAGGCAACCGATTGATGTTTCTCTCCCTCCCTCTCCCTTAAATCAATAAAAACATATCCTTGGGTGAAAATTAAAAAGAAAAGCATTCTCCTCTGCGTGGCTGACTGTTACCTTATCAGGTCGAGTAATATAGAGGACCAAGTTCAGTGTGTAAGGGGCCAACATTAAATAGTGAAGACTGATGCCTTAAGCTACTTGGAACTTGTTTAGTTCCCAGTCCTTGCTGGCTTAGTGGGACGCAGTTATTGTGACGTGCAGACCACACAGTGAGCTTGTGGAGGGTAGGAGGAGCATCCCCTACATTGACTCAGTGACGGACTCGTGGTGAGGACCTCGTCAGTACATTTGCTGATTCACACTCCAAGTCAGATCTTTACTAGAATGAGAGGAGCCACACAGAATTCTTTAAGGTCAAAGTGAACAGCTCGTAACCCCTGACCTTTATTTTATAGGGCAAATTTATCCTTTCAGTGCTGCGTGTTCAAGCTTTCCAACCAAGCCAAGGCCTGCTGACACATTACTTGTGGATGTGTTAGAGGTGAGCTAAGATCCTGAGCCCTGAACCCTGGGGAGGCTGAGCCCCCCCGGGCAGGATGTTTTTCCAGTCAGTGGGCTGCACAAGCCTTACCCTGACTACATGTGGCATGAGGAGAGAAAGAGGCACACAGCTCTCCCATCTCAGTATCCACACAAACTGGAGCCAACACACCTTCCAGGGGAATAACCACTCTTTTAGCCCACCTCTCTGTAGCCTTCTCAGAGGACCAAAATGAAAGCTTGCTTTATTTATTTATTATTCATTCATTCATTCATTCATTCATTCATTTATCGGATTTTAAACTGACACTCCACAAATCCTTTGTGGAATAGGACAGGATATAAATACATATCTGGCTTTTTAAATTTCCTAACACTGTTAACACTGCCACAGGCCATCTGGAATCTAAAAGCTGCCTTTTCCATCAGCTGCACAGATGACACCTATGTGAGACCCTTCCACGAACTGCGTGCTATTTGAGTCCTGTCAAGACAGGTGAGAGAAGTGTTTGAGAAAGACTAAGGGGCACGTTAGACACTCTTGTCTCCGTTCCCAAAATTCTATTCTTACTCTGAATTAGCTTAGGATGTCACACACTTGGCTGTCACCTTAGCTGCCTCAGAAATATCACCATTGAACCAAGATTCAAGACATGGGGAGTTGGCCTTTTTTTTTTTAAACACATGAAGAACTGTTCTGCATTTTCCCCTAATTAGTTTGGTAGGTACTTGAGAGCAGGGACTGTCTTCTGCATCTTTGTAGCTCTTGCTACAAAGGGAGCCGTGAGCATGAAAAGCATTACATCAATTTTTGGTGAATGCGAGAAATAAGGTATGTATATACTTGTAGCAAGTTATAAACCTGTCCAAAGAAGGAAACCCAATCTTGTGATGCTGAAATTTTTAGGTGAAACGTCATCAAGTGGGAATAACTTTTATTTTATTTTTAAATATATCTTTATTGATTTCAGAGAGAGGAAAGGAGATGGAGAGAGAGAGAGAAATATCAGTGATGAGAGAGTCATTGATCGGCTGCAGCCCACAACCCGGGCCTGTGCCCTGACCAGGAATCGAACCCCGATGGCCTGGATCCTAGGTTGACGCTCAACCACTGAGCCACGCCCGGCCGGGCGGGAATAACTTTTAAAAAGACTAAGAAATATTTAGTCTGAGCAGGGTTTGCTAACCAGGTTTTCTTTTTACCAAGTTTCTGGATAGTTCCAAGACGTCTAAGAATTATTTTAGTGAAGAAATGGTTTTTGAAAAGCCAGGTCCTCCGGGTTATTGAGACCAGTGTGGGCAAGTTCAGGTAGATGAAGGTGCTCAAAAGCACGCCTTCTGTAGAAGCCACAATACGAGTGAACCCTCAGGACATGGGTGAGTGACAGCGGCAGGCCCAGGGAGGGGATTCTGCCCACCCCCCTGCCCGCAGTGGCCCCGCTGGCAGCCCAGGCAGGGTGTCCCCTGTCCCGTCCCGAAAGGGAACAGGGCCGCCAGGTCAGGGGGGCAGGGGAGTGCGGAATGCACCGGGAAGCTGGCCCCAGGGCAGGGTCCGGCTCAAGGCACTGAGTTAGACTTGAAATAAGTCACCCGAAGGTGCGTGCCAGGATTACAGTGGATTTAAATCGTAAGAATCTGGCTCACGATTGAGACCACGTTAAAGCCACAGACCCAAGCAGGTGTAGGAGCGGCCGCCCGGGACCTGCAGGGAGGATCCGGGCCCCTGGGCGCGGGAAAGGCAGCGCCGGGCTGTGCTGCGGGCGCGGCCCTGCCGGACGCCCGGGGAGGCGACGCGGTGGCCACCTGTGCGGGGACAGCCTCCCGGACGGGCGGGGCAGCCACGACCCGCCTGCCCCGCGAGGCGG